GGGAGATGGATGTCTACTCTTGAAGTGAAATTAGTGAAAGAGACAATGGAAGTGATACCTCACATTTGGGTAACAAGATCGCTGTTGTTACACAGTTGCATGCAATATACAAAAAGCCTAACTACGTTCCTATTTTGATTAGCTTCTCCCAAAAGAAGATTATTTGACCAGCTGATCGGTGGCATTCTAGTTTTAAAACTTGAAAAAGAGTTTTCAAGATCATTAATTCAATTCCACTTGGAAATACTGATTTACGCTTTAAACATAGTATTATCAACGGTTGGCTCCGGATACAGAAGAGATTATGGATCGAAGATCCGAAACTCCAACGGTTTATAAAAATAAAAATAAATTATTTTGGTTTCAGAAAAAAAAAAAGATTACTAATTACCACTTTCTGATTTCAACTTTGTTAATCGTTGTCATGACTGGACATTTTAGTGTTTTTAAAATTATAGAAAACGGAAAAAGATCAGATTTTTCCAGCTCAGTGGGAAAGGTCAACCCAACTAGTCTTCTTGTAATTTATAGTTTTTCTATAAAGATTCTGTTGGACCCTGTCGTGTGGCCATCGTTGCATTATCTTATTTTCCAAAATCCCACGAACTATGAACGGTTTGATTAAGCCATGTAACATTACTTTTCATTTCGAACGACTAAATTCAATAGCTGCATGATTAAAAAACCACGTGGCTCACTTAATCTCAGCGTAGACTCTTATAATTGGCTATACTATAACATCATTTTGATAAGCTGTTTAATCCTATGTATTATGATCGATTCCCTCTAATTAAACTCTACGTCTCATAATGAAATTCAATGATCAATCAACCACACAGATACCAAAAATATAGCTTCTCTTACTAGAGAAAGACTGCGATAATAGTTTCTTTTTCTGCAATCCAAATATATCATAACACAAATGTATAAAATAAAATATACAATTTTTTTTCCCAACAATATAAAATATATGAGGTATTATTTCCTTAAAAATGCACGAAAATGACATAAATGTTGACTTATATATATTTCATTATTTTTTTGACAAACATATAAGAATAAATTTGTTCCAATTTGCTATCATTTTCCGAAAACTATATGGGAATATTATAAAATGCATTAGAAAACATAAATAATATTGATTGAGGCCAAGATTTGGAAGTAGATATATTAGCTCTCCCTCCCATTGAAGGGGTAAGTTGTTAATTGTAGCTTTCGTTTTCAACATGCATAGAGAGAGCGACATTAACTGCTCTAACGGTAACACAGGCTTCATGAAATTTGGAAAATCCAACACCGAATCTTTGTAACATTTTTTGTGAAGTGGACAATAATAAAGCATTTTGTATTACTCGCTTTCAACGACGCATCAATACATGTGAAGGTGAAATTCCTTCAAAATTTAGTATACTACATATTTCTCCCATTCATAATTTTAGTAATTAGTGTTTTTTCAAGCACAAAATTGCAGCATTATATCCGCCTAATTAAGTGCTTAACCAGCGTGACAGTGTCACTTGATTTTTAGAAAAAAAATGAATTAAGTCCTATTGCCTTTTGTCTGTTCAAGTTGACCAGTTATACATATAGAAGACAAAAAAAAAAGTTTGAGATAGTGGGAATTCACCGAAATTATTGAAAATATGGGTAAAGGACACTGATAGCTTTCTTGATATATATGATAGAAAATCGACAAAAGGGAAGATAACAATTAATGATTACTTGATGCAATCTTTATATCTTGGTTTTGACTTAAGCATCTGCGATAGATCGAGTCAGATCTATAAGACCATCTACGTTGGAGATAAAATGTCGATGTCTCTAAATAAAAAAATATTAAAAACATATTCTCTTTTTTTTTTACTCAACTTTATACTTTTTCTTTCATTATTTTACTCAATTTTTATTAATTTTATATTTAAACACACTCCAACTTTCATCCATTCTCTCTCCAACTTTGTCTTCCCCGAGACATCCTCTCTCCAATAATACCCACTATCTCATCTCTTTACTCAAATTTTATTAATTTTATATTTCAATACACTCCATTATTTCAACCAAAAACACTCTCTTTCTTCCTTTTACTCAACTTTTAATAATTTTATATTTAAAGACACATACAAAATGTCTCCAACGCTGGTGCTCTAATATATATCTAAAGTCAAGAAGTAGAGTCAACTCACTTCAGTAACATCAATATACATTTTCTATATATCAAAATCCTAAGATTTTATTTATGGATCTGGTTTTGAGAACTCGTGCTCTATGCTCATAGTATAATAAACTGTCGGGCAAACAATAAACTGAAGAAATTTAAAAAAAAACACACACACATATATCAGTTTTGTGGTTAGGTACATAAGTTTCATGTATTTATCATAAGAAATGTATTAAGAAGAAAAAAAATGGAAAAGTTAGAGTAGATGAGAAGAGTTTCAGCCTTCAACTTCCACATATATTCGTCAAAGCAGAAAATAAAGGGGACAAATTCAGAGAATATCATTTACAGATTTTGAAGCCTTATTATGTTTTTTTTTTTTTCTGAAAATTAAAGCCTTGTTATGTTCTTACAAGAATTATATGTCTTAAAAAGTGATTGGAACTTGTTCCGTATCATGTCTCTGATCATCTCCACTCTCTATATATATTTTCATGCAATATTAGTAATAAACCCTATAATGTATAATAATCGGATGCTTTAATTTGTAGACAGTATTCTCTAGCTTCCTACCTATCATTTTGCAAGAATTTTGTGTACAACTTATTATGTTTCTTTGTTTTGTTATTACGACCAATTAATCGGCATTATTCTTTATATCCATTCATATATAAGCATTTCATGTAAAAGAAAGAATAAGAGGCCACAAGCTATGTTACGTTAAGTCATTTCGTCTTATGATTAAAATTACATCATATATTCCTTAATAAACATTTGTTCCATGAATCCACTAGTTAATTAATTTTTTATCGACTCACCCAAATTTAATTATTCGCATCGTAAAAAGATGTTATTTGCCGTAAATAATCTCAACAATCTTTTACCCCTCCGAGAATCATCTTTTTGGTTTTCGCATTATAATACTTTGATATACCGTAAAAAGGTAAAGCAGAACATATACACCTTTTAAAAAGAACACTAATAAATTGAGAAACCGGAATAACTTGCTCTTTATTATATTGAGATTGATATTGGCTGAAAATATTCTTACGTCGTAGATATAATGATTAAGTGAAATTCTTTTATTTTATTTACTAGACAGAATCTTCACGTTCATTGGGAATAATTAAGTACATTATGATAAATCTATCATTAAATAATTAAGCTGCTTAATTAAAACTAACCTAATATTGATCAAATATCATAGCTAGCGACATTAATTGATTCCGAAGTAAATTAAATGAGATAGGTAATAGAATCAGAAACTCCATGTATTTGGATGATGAGCATCTCCAGGAACAACGTCCAATTCACAAGGAAAAGAAATTAGACCAGACATTGCTTCGTGAAGCCATCCGTCGTCGTTTTCCATCTGCTAAGAATTGTGATGCAATATTGGTATATCAGATTTTAAAATTGATGATTCGAAATAATACGTCATGGAATAAGTGAGTTAATTAGTACCTGGATTAGATAGTCGTCTGATCCCGAAAACATATCTTCGTCTTTTTCAGAATGGTTGTTGTGAGTCTTAGACATGGGAGATTGTTGTTCACATGTGTCATTGTTTCTTGCAAATCGTCCCCGAACACGAACACGCCGGTCCGCTAGGGTTTTACGACACACATACTGCATATATAAAATATATTTTCATAATTCATGAACGTTCAAAAACGAATAATTAACTCAAAATAAGAACGAGTGTGTATACGTACCTTAATGGTCTTATTGAAGTTGCGTTGGTTCTTCTTCTTCAAGTACCTCATGATTCGATCTTTACGTTCTTCAACCGAATAGCGTCCCACTTTTGTGTTGGGCTCAGCTTGTATCCCTCCTTCACTATTTTCCTGCTTCATACAAATATGATTATTTTTTAATATCACTTCAAATATGTACGTGCATATATATACGTACCCATGATTGCTCTCCAGTGGATGGACGGAACAAAGGCTTGATCTCCGGTGAAAAGCCGTAGTATTCTTGATCACGACCATGAAAGTATTGTGTTGCATTATTCACACCCATTTTCTGGTAATAATTGTTGTACTCGGGCATCGAAACGTCAGAAATCCCAAAAACTTGGGGTAAAAATATGGAATCTTGATTACAAGAGTTGTTGAAAGAGCCATAACAGTCATCCACGTAGGTGGATAAAGCTGAGACGTCAGGACATGAAGAAGAGCCGTGAAACTGCGAAGTAGTCTCTCCCGAAAATGCGAAATCGGCGTAAAACTGAGGAAGAGATGATGCCATATTGATTGAAGAACAAGTTCTTGTTAGTTTGGGAGGAAATGAGAGTGTGTGCAAGAGTGTATATATATAGATGAGTTTTGTTGTGTGAGATGTTACAAGTTGTTTTGGTTTCGGGCAGGCTGACCGAACACACCAGACTTACAGTTACTGAGACTTGTGCTCTGTATAATAACTTCTTTACACTCTCTTTTCATGCTGTCAAAAGCTTCTTTCTATTTTCTTACCTTAATTAACATCTTGATTATTTACCAGCTCATTTTCCCCTTTTTATGTTTTAACTGTCTCTCTATTTTCGTTTATTTTCACTTTTCTTTCTACATTTATCGACCTATATCTTTGTTTTGGATTGATTTTAATTATCTCCCTTTTTATATATCGTTACTCGTTGTTTGTATAAATTTCTTCAATATATTAAAACAAAAGATGTTTTTTTAACCGTATTGGTTTT